TAATACTTTTATATTCATATGATTAATAATTGAAAATTTTTTTGACTAAATGAAAAATACTAAACATTAACTAGTTATTGGGAAAAAAAAGATTATAATTGTTATTTATATGCTATAAAATATTATTTAGAATTATATATTAAAAAATTAATTAACTTATATTTTAAACCAGAGTGATTATTATTTATACATGTTGCATTTATACTCGCTTGTATGTACTCCAAATGAAAAGCGATAAACAAAGGAAATGATATCTTCATCAAAAGCGTGAGTGACACAGAATGATCTGACCAGAATGTGTCTTTAAAATTGTCTAGTAACAGATTAATTTTAAAATACATAAAAATTGATGTAAAGACACCTTAGTTATAAATTAAAGAAATTGTTCATGTTACTTCAATGTTCATTTATTCTGTTCATCTGTTGCTGCACACATCAGCGCTCACGCATACAATACTACTGGAACGAGTAGTCTTTGATCATTAGAATAACACAACTGATACATAATGTTTGAAAAATAAATCAAGAACATTCATACTGGGAGTCCTCCAGTATAGGTCTGAAGAATGGAGATGCACAGCAAAAAAATATTGACTTGAAATTTTGAATTGTTATAAGAAGAGAAAAAAAAAAAAAATTATCCAAGACTGACCGTGCCTACTGTTACATATGTTACAAGTTAAAAGAGATGAGTGTTGGTAGTCCATATATGTCCAGGCATCCATTTGCTTTTAATTTGTTTTCACCCAAATAGCTTGGTAAGTTTCACCAAAATGTTTTGCTTAGTTAAAGATGCAGCTAGAGCATATAACAGATATTCGTGTACCTGATGAAGAAGAGCAACCACATTTGCTACTAAGGCGACCGTCTCTAAAGAAAGTCAATAACAACAATATTAACCTGATACAGGTTGAAAACTCCCTTTTGATTCATCATAAAGCCACCTGCAACATAAATTGTTCCATAATTAAAGAAACGTCGACTAAACTCATCATTGACTGGGGTCTAAAGAATTAAAATTTATCTTAAAGAAACACAGTTTTCTCCAAAACAAAATAAAAACATACTGAGTAGTCTGCGTTTGTGGTTAGGACAAGAAAATTGACAAACCACACCATAGGATGGTGAAGAAGTTTAAAAACATGGGACACAACATTCTGGTCCACAAACTGACACATAAACTCATTAACATACAGTCAACACATCTCGTCTCACTATGATCATCCCTGATCTTCCCCTAAACATTAAGTTTCATTCAAACAGCAACATTAAGCAGCTAGAGCCACATATCAATGGGTCTATCATGGTTCAAAGAAAGACACTGATTCATGAAAAACACCAAACCAATTATAAAGAGGGAAGCCTCCAGAATTCTGTAACTGGAGAACTCTACAAAGGATGGAAGTTAAAGTTCTACCAAACAATCAACTGAATCAGACACAAATAAGCAAGCCTATAGTACCAAGTTTCTCTAAGGTTTCTTCCCTTCCCTTCCCTTCTCTTGAGATTAAATAGAGTCAAATCGCCTCCACATTACATATTTGTTAGCACAATAAAATTCAGTTCACCAAATTGATATTTGTGGTTCTACTATCACTAAAAAAAAGAAGGAAAAATAAACATCCACATTGTCATGTAGGAAAATCGTTAATTACTTAAAAAAGCAATTTTAGTGTCATTTGTGTGCAAGATAAGAGATGAATGGACATACTTGCATAGAAAAATTGACCTTGATCCTTTATTTCCCTCAACTTCTAACTGAATTTGTTTTTCACTTTCTTCCTTAAATTTGGAAGCAGGGAGAACTTCACATGGTCCTTGAATCAAGCCAGCCATTATGGTGATATCATTATTAGACTCATAAACCTACAAAAGAGCACCATCAGTTAATATAAACTCTAAAGTGTGTAAGCAATGTAGTCTGTTGAAACACTAATTCCATGAGGAGAGCACAAATTTTCATGAAAGCAAGAAGCAAAAACTATTTGCAAACCATAAATAGTATCAGAACAACTTAAGTTTATAAAATAATGGCATAGCAAGCAACAGATCGAGATCGAAGAGAAACGCATTACACATAAGAGAAAATACAACACATAATATAAGAAAATGCGGAAGAAAACAGTTTACCTCACTGCCTTCAGGGGTATATGGACGACCAACAGTCTCTGGCAAGTCACTAGGAAAGTAGCACCTTCTGACATCAATGAACTTTAAACCGGTTTTAATCTCCTCCCACATGGCCTGCAGTAAAAATTCAAAAGTTCTTCTACAAATGAATCTCAATAATATGGAAACCAAGTGTAGTTGTGCACTGGGATTACGAAACATATAATGTGGTTGTTGACATGCTCACCTGAAGCTTAGAAGGAATCAATTTGCCATTGCTAAAACGAAAAAGAGCATGATCCTGCACTTTATAAGTTACACCACCAATACAACAGGATTTGTAAAATTTTCTTCCATCCAAAACTTGTGTTACATCACCAATCCAATCAATAGCATGCAACCCATCAAAGGAGAACTGGGTGTGATTTGTAACCTCTGTACTTGGTCCAGAACTTTGAATAGGATGTGTCACTGTAGCATCCTGCTCATTTTGCTCAATAGGAACATCAGCAGAGTTTTGCTTCCCCATTCGAACATCTTGCATATCTTGTGAAGCCTGGGAATGATCAAACTCTTCCTTTATTGTGTTAGATAATGTACCAAGAGGCTGTGATTTTGATTCAGGATCTCCTCTCTCTTCATTTGTAGCTGATTCAGTTGTATGAGGATGTTCAGAAGATTTTTCACTTGATGACACAACAAGAGACCCACTATTAGGACAAGTTCCAGTAGAGGCAGCCTGGTCCCTTTGTTTTTCAATAGATGAGAGATTTTTCCCATTTGGAATCTTAGAATCAAATGCCGACTGAATGGAGTTGCTTCCTGTGGTACCTGGCACAACAGGAGGCTGCAAACCAGTGCTTCCATTTTCTGTTATCTTTGGCTGATTCACTTTTGCATCTGGGTTTCCTTCTTTATTCTCAGAAGATGACTGAGCTTCAGCTGTGTTTGACTGACCTGCAGCCGTGTTAGAAGGTGCTAGTGCCTTGGGCATGTTTATGCTTCTCATAACACGACCGTATTTGGGAGGCAAAGGCTTTCCATTGCATAATGACAAGCACCTTGTGCAGTGCCACTCACCTCTAGGAATTCCTTTCTGATTGTGTGCTTGCAAACATTTCAAGTGAAATCCTTTCTCGCATGCATCACAAATAAGCACAGTTTCCACTTCATTAATAGTGAATTTGCATGTTTGGCAGGTCAATGCCTTATTCATATATTCCCTTGAAGGAGGAGTCCAGGTTGGATGCTCAGGAAGCTTTGGTTGCAGTAACTTCTGGACAATTTTTGCAATTTCGTTGTGATTATTGTTCAAGGGTGGACCTTGAAGATGGTTCATGGAATGCATTGACAAAGTCCCAGATGATGATTGGGTAATGAATGGTCTAAAGTTTTGATCTCTTGCTGCTTGAGAAGCCAATCGAGACATGCTCATATCAAGGCTTCCCTCACTCTTGGCAAGGTTATGATTCAGTGCCTTGTTTTCTTGTCCAGGTTTAGTCAATGCTCCAGGTTGGGACTGTATAGACCATGTTGGAGCATTAACGAGAGGATGATTAGCAGAAGGATTTGCTGCAAGAGAACAATTGTATATTCTGAGAATAGAAACATAAAGCCAACCAAAACAACCATTTTGAAGAGCAATACTGCTAATAAATGAAAATTTTGGTGAAGAAAGAAACAGTCCTACAATGTTGCCAAGAGTCACTAGAAAAAGAACAACTTCAAAGTTACTTATAGTAACAAACTGTCAACTTTGTTTGCAACCAAGGCAAGAAGGCAGGTAGAATGAAATTTTTACCTGGCCCCACATTTGAGCCTTCCAACTTAACCTGTGATCTGTCACCTCTGGGAAATCCAAACACAGATGAATCCCTTCCCAAATGGCTACTAGGCAATCCAGAATTCACTGCTGATGAAGTGGACAAGTGATAAGGCACAGGAGAGGAAGAAGTGGCAGTAACTGGAGCTGGGGATGATGAAAAAGAAATAGGTGCATGATTTGGTCTATCTGATGGAAAACTGCGAAGAGCGTGTGATGATCCACCAATACTTGTTTGCAACAACTGGGATGTATATGTAGGAGTAGATGCCTGAAGTTTCTTTGATTCTTCCATCTGGCAAAAAATTAAGGAAGTCAAATCACCAGCTTAGGGAATTTAACCTGTCTATTGGGGGACATGCACCTTAGCAGTTGAGCCACAAGCTCAAGTGCAACCATTACATAATTATCTAAATTAAAACCTAGCAGCAAAACCACATACCTCAAAATTCACATATAAAACCCCATGAAAACCAAACGTGCATCAAACCACAATACCAACTGCTAAAACCAGAAAAGACTAATACCTTTTACTTCCCTCTTTAGAGAAAACTCTTTGAGCCCATTGATCTTGTGAACATTCAGGTTTTCATAACAGCCTATGATTTTCATTACCCATCAACTAAACATAGCGAATATCATCCAATGCTATTGATCAAATTAAACAAAAGAGAAGCCTTACTAAAATCTTCATCCACCGAATAGAGAACAAAACCACACAGCATGCCAAACCAAACAAAATCAAAGATATGGACAATCCTAATCACCAAATGCATAGATAACCACGAGAGCAGCATACACTGTACGGTACAATACCGACGCGTCCCCTAAGAAATCAACAATCAAAATCCACAAAATTGAAAGAATGAAGTCATTTACCTTCTTCTTGGCAATCGAGAACCTCTCCGAAATGGTCAATCTCGGCATCCTAAACCCTAATCTCTGTTCCTTCGCTTTGGCATTAAGCCCCAAATCTTCAATGACAGCAGCAACTGCATCCCTTCCAACAATATCCCCCGGCGCCAGGTCTCCACATATCTCCACCAACCTCTCCCTCGCCTCCGCCATCAACCCTAGCTCCACATCAGTCGGACCCCTCCCTCCACCTCGCATCTTCGCCATAGCCGAGAGGACCAACACAATCTCCGCCACACGCTTCATCGCTCCAGGGGTCCCACAACGCTGCTTCTTGACGGACGAAACCTCGCCATTCTCAATCGGCCTCTTCTCACCCACGGAGCACGCCACAGCATCCAATCCGGCGTCAGGCTCAACATTCACCGGTGGATCCATGGTTCTCCCAACGACGACGTGTTGAAGAAAGGAAAGAGAGGGTGGAGACAAGGAAGACGGCCGGAGAAGGAGGGGGAGGAGGAATGGTGGGAAATTTGAAAAAAAAAACAGAAAAATTGGGACGTTAAAATTAAAAAGAAAAGAACTTTTTGGCGGGTAAATTGGATCGTCGACGTGAGAGAGAGAGAGAGAGAGAGAAGAGAAGCGATATGAGAGCACAGAGCGAAGATTCGAGAGCTTGGGCTGGCCGTGGGGAGGAAAAAAAAAAAGCGTTTATTTTTAGGTTTTTTATTTGGGTGAACCGGAACGGTTTGCAGTGATTGAACCGGATTATGAGTTTGGAGATTTGGGGATTTTGACTTTTTTTTTTGGGTTGGTCCGGTTGGATTTGACTTCTCTATCTACGGTTAGTGATTTGCGGTGACTGTTTCGTAAGCAATGACAACAAGCCACATCAAGTTAGAAAACAATTGGGTTGGGCCCTCCAAAGGCCCAATCAGTAAAAGTTTACCCTTCAATTGACGGTAGTTTTTTTTTTTTTTTAATTTAAAAATATATAAAATACAAACTAAAAAAGATTTGTGTTTTTTGAGATAGATCATAAACTAAAAATGTAGTTTATTTTATAATTTTATTAAAATATTTTTAATAAAATAACATAAAATATTTTTATTTAGGATATTTTAATAAATTTATAAAGTAATTTACATTTTTAATATGTAATTTGTCTTGTGAGATTTTTTTGTAATTAAAATAAAATAAAAATATAAAATTTAACTAAAATTAGTAAAAGTTTTAAAAAATAATTAAAAATTAATATAAATTTATAGTTTTAGACAATGTATTATTTAAAAATTATCTATCTGAAACATTGTCAAATGAAACCTTAATCGGTTCATATTTAATAAAATGTTAGTCTCAACTGAAAATAAAGAAAAATCCATAATACACCTGAGTTTGAAATATTAATGAAAGAATGTTTTCATTTATTTCTGTTCGAACTTATCAATTTGAATTCCATACTGAAAAACAACGTTCTTAGGAGAATGAGTCATCGTGAGGCTTTTTCTCTGATTTAGCCTAAACCCAATTTCCCAATGCAATTACAGTGCATTTCTATGATAATATATTTCGAGCAATGGTATGTTTACTCATTGTTTAAATTGCTGTTTTTTAGGTTGCATAACAATTTATGTTTTACTTCAAAGTGCAGTGCATAAAAAAGACCTATTTCTCAAGGTTACAAAAAGTGCTAAGCGATTGTAAGTGGTTGCCCATAACCTAGAGCCTAAAGTGCAGAAGTAATGCCTAAACTACTTAGGTGGTTTTTTTTTTAATAATGCTTTTCTTATATAATTTTAAGAAAATAAGAAAAAAATGTAAAACAATTTAAAAAATTATAAAATAAATAGAAAAATTAAATATTTTTCTATTCATTATCATACCTAAAGACCAAAATTTAGGAAAATTACTTGGCATTTAATTTTTTTTTAATATAATTTTTATAATAAATTAAATAACATCATTTCATTAAACTAGAAAATTAATAAAAAAATTTGCTCGAATGCTTTAGGTGTCATTAAGCATGCTTAATAGTACCCTGGTGTGCTTAATTGATCTAAGCAATGCAAACCGTATTGAATTTCTGCTTAAAAGCTGATATAGGCAGAATGACACTGCCTAAACCCACTTTTTACAACACTGTTATTTCTGGACCTGCCGAGCTCTTTACCTTGAAACTGTATCGACAAGTATACTGTGAAGAATGCTTTGATACTCTAACTATACACAACGAGCTGGTTGAGTTGAGTAGGAAGCTGCTTGAGATCTGTTTGTTCTGCGTTGGTCACGTCACTGCAGATTACAACTCTCGAATCTACGTAGACAATTTCAGCATTCTGAAGTGCATAACCCCCAGGGAGTGGCACTGGCAACCCTCTCCCCAGATGCAAGTTCAGATACGGCAAGAAGGCAGTTTCAAGGATGGTTGACATTACTGACTGATAACATTACAAGGAATTATTAGGTTGCAGTAAACCTTGAAGAAAATACTAAACTACGCATACTGTCAATGAAGAACATGATATAAAATGATATGCAGACTGGATATAACCTGAATCAGATGCAAGTGAAGGGGACCAATGTTGCTCCATTTCAAAGACGCAGTGAAGTCAACCAATCTAATGCTACCAGCAAGATTATTCCCGGAGATT